GAGGAGGACGATGAGGAGGAGGAGAAGGACGAGGAGGAATATGAGGAGGATGATGATGATGAGGAGAAGGATGAGGATGAGGAGGAGGAGGAACCTAGGAGGAGGAGGAGGAGGAGCAGCAGGAGCAGGAGGAGGAGGATGATGATGATGAGGAGGAGGATGAGGTGGAGGAGGAGGATGAGGAGGCGGATGAGGAGGAGGAGGATGATGATGATGAGGAGGACGAATAATAATAATAATAATAATAATAATAATAAGAAAAAATAATAATGATAATAATAATAATAATACTAGTAATAATAATAATACTACTAATACTATTAATAATAATAATGATCATAATGCTAATAATAGTACTGCTAGTAATAGTACTAATACTACTAGTACTAGTAATAGTAATACTACTACTAATCATAATACTATCAATAATAATAATACTAATAATAATAGTATTAGTACTAATAATACTAAGAATAAGACTCATGATATTATTAATAATAATAGTAATACTACTAATGCTAACAATACTAATAATACTAATGCAACTAATAATACTAACATTAATAATACTAATACTAGTACTACTCATAAGACCAATTATAGTAATAGTACGAATGCTGATGATAACCACACTAGTATTGATACTACAAATATCTACAATAGCAACAATATTACTAATACTAGTAATGCTAATGGTAATACTAATACTACCACTACTGACAATACGATTCACAATCATAAACCTAATACGTTGCAGAATAAGAATAAGACTACTAAGACGAATACTAATACGAAAACTAATAATACATAAGAACACTACTACGAATAATACTAAGACTAAGAATAAGAAACATAAGAAACACGATACGAAAAATACTAAGACGACGATGAGGAGGAGGATGCGGAGGAGGAGGAGGGGGAGGGGGAGGCGGTGGCGGAGGCGGAGGCGGAGGCGGAGGCGGAGGCGGAGGCGGAGGCGGAGGCGGAGGCGGATGAGGAGGAGGAGGAGGAGGAGGAGGAGGAGGAGGAGGAGGAGGAGGAGGAGGAGGAGGAGGAGGAGGAGGAGGAGGAGGACTTTCCCGACTTTCCCCCAGGACGACGTCCCTTTCCGCTCCTGCGGGCCTGCGGGCGGAGGGCGCGGGCCGCCTCTCAGGTCTCGTCGCCGTCCCCCATCACGGTCCCGTAGTACTCCGTCTACCCATGATTGTAGCCGTGGGGCTGCTTCGTAGGGCCACTTGCCCAGGCGAACGGCCGTGGGGCCGTCTCGCGGGGCGTAGGTCTACCCAGTAGGTGCCGTGGGGCTGTGCTGCTGGGGTCGGTTGTGGTTGTCTGGTCAGCTGCTGTCGAGTGCTGCTCTTCGTGAGTCGTTGTAGGTTGTCAGTGCTGGTTGCCGTCGGCCGTCTCGCGCGGGTTCTCACACGTAGTTGGCGTCGGGGTTATCGCACTTCTTGGTGTTGCTAGCGTCTTGGCTGTGTTGATCGGCGGCTGCTCGTTGGCGTGCTTCCTTCTCGCTCGCACCATGTAGTCTGCTCGCGACCTGGGTGGTGGTGGTGCACACTGTTGTTCGAGCTTCTCCGATATGTAGTGTTTTGCCACGCTTCCGCATTTGTAGCAGTAGCAGCCTTGGTCACGTTTGTGCCATTCCATCTGGTGGGAGTGGTGGGCGTAGCGTCCCTTGAGTGTCAGGGGTGGCTTCTTTGCGGCTTTCGTGTTACTGCATGGTGAAAGTAACCACCACCTTGCTGTCGTGCTGCGTCGTCGTAAGGCTGACTGTTCGCAGGTTCTGCATCGCCAGCCTGTCGGAGTCGGTTGAACTTGATGCTGGCTCTGAGTCGCCAGCTCGTCGAGGGTGGGTGCTGGTGGTCTTCGTAGTTTGGCTTCTTTCCTTAGCTGTGCTCGTTCTTCCCAACTCATTGGTGGTCGTCGCTCCATGCAGTCTAGGGTGGCTTGTGTGATGCGTTGTCTGACTAGGTTGCCAACTGCTCGTACCCATTCGTAGCACCCGAGCTGTGCTGCTGGTAGTGCATGCTCCTCTGCTGCTGCGTCAGCTTGCTCGTCTGCTGCGCGGTTGCCGTGCCATGCCCATTCTGGGATGTCCCTTCGTCGAGCGTCTTCCCATTCGAGGTGGCTTTGCATATGTCGTATCGTGACGCAGTCGTCGCCTCCTCCCCATTGGTCGATGGCGTCCTTGACCAACTTCCAGATGTCGCCGTTGCCGAAGTGGTACTTCTTGGTTCTGTGCCGCTTGCGTCTCCAGTTCTTCAGCAATACCTCTGAATCAGTCCAGTAGATGATGGGACCCCGCGGAATTCCGTAAAACGCTGAGTAGTGCCCAAATCTCTGCTCGGTTGTTCGTCTGCCTTGGTCCTGGTAGTGGTCCTCGCATAGTAGCTCGAATTGTTGTGCCATTCATGCATGCCCATCCCCATCCGCACCTTCGGTACCGTCGGTCTGCTGGCATGGCCCCTCCGCTGCCGTCACCGCAGAAGTGTAGTGGTACATCGTCTGCGATCAGTTGGCCGTGCTGGATGTCGCCGTCGCAAGTGTGGGATGGTTATGTTGTGCATGGTGGAGGGCAAGTCATGGGTCGTGGCGTGATGCCTCTGAACCAGAAGGCTGCGTTCGTCTCGATGCCTTCTTTTGCCCGCTCTTTGAGGTGTTCGGTCCGTTCGTAGATGATGTGCTGACGTCTCTGCGGGCAGTCTCCCCAGATGCGGTGGTAGTCGTCGTCAGGTGCTCCATATTCGCATAAGTTGGGCGTGCCATAGGCGTCGGCGATGCGCTGCCGTGGCCATGTCCCAGCGCAAGCAGCTGCCAAAAGTGCTCCGTGTCGTTGGTGCTTGCCCCGTCGGTCGAGGTGCCGGAGGTGGCTGATGAGGTCTTGCACGTCCGCGCCGTTCTCGAGGCCGCTGCCGTTGTGGTGCTTGCTGGCTTGCCTCCATTGCTGTAGCTCCACTTGGTTGGTCAAAGCGTCGATGACGTCGGTCGGGTCGCCGTGCGCGTCCTCCTCCCTGAGTAGCCATCCGTCGCCCTGGGGGTCTATCCAGTAGTCGGCGCGCTGGGGGTCCCAGCCCAGGTCTCTCAACGTGATGAGTGCGGCGATAATGCCGCGTCTGCGTTGCCATCGTAGTCTTTGTGGTTGCTGCTGCAGTCGGGACTTTATCTGCGGCCACACTCGTCGTATCCGCTGTCGGACCTCGTGGGAAGCCGTCCACATATCAAACCATGCTGTAAATTGGGCTCTGATAATAGATACTTCAGGGTCCGTCCCTTCCACTGCGATGAGGGTGGTTAAGCATCTGCCTGGCCAAGCTCGTCGTAGGGCGCGTGCATAGTATCGTCGTGTTTGCAGTCTCTCGTTGGGCGATGCTCCGTGCGCCTTGGCGCCATACAAAAGGGATGCCATGGCCCCTTGGGCTAGCACCCCTCGAACTCGGTGTCGTCTGGCTCTTCTGAAGAGGGTGCGTACCAAATTCATCCTGGCCCAGGCTTTCTTTTTGCGTGCGTGGTGTGGTCGTCGTTGTGTGCATGTGCGGCTGCCCCTGTCGATGCCGAGGTCGCGTCCTTCGGTGCTGCCGTCGATGTGGATGTTGTGGTCTGCCAGGCGTTTGATGATCTCTTTGGTGTCCTTCATGTGGGTGGTGATGATGACCGATTTTGCTGCTACTTCCAGTCCTTGCTGTTGTAGTGCTTCGTGCAGCGTCTTGGTCGAGTCGACGGTGTCGCGAACCAGGGTATCCTTGGATCCGTACAGCTGGACACCAATGTCGTCGAACCATGTCCTAGGCTGGGTCTTCGTAATTTTGCTGCTATACTGGCGCAAGACGAAGTAGATCAGTGCTCGCGCAAGATTGTTCGAGTGTCTGGCCCCTGCCAATATGGAACGGCTTGCACAGATCGGCTCGCTGTAGCAACCGTTGAGGCGCAGGAAGCGTACCGAGAGGTGCATCTGCATGGAGAGTGCGAGGATCCTGCTGGGAAAGCCGAGGCGGTTCGCAGCCATCGCGATCTTGCAGAAGCTGAGCGAGTCGTAGAAGCGCTTGACGTCGAGTAGCGTCGTCGCTGCTCGAATGCTGTAGGTGTCTGCGATCTCGTCTCCTAGGGCGCGTAGCATGGCTTCTCGCAGGCAGCTGTTGCCTGCGACCGCGGCATCCCATGGTTCCTCAATCTCCTTGGCCATTAGTCGTACCCTGTCTCGATGCATGAGTTTCCAGGTTCGGCAAATCCAGGGTAGTAGCGCCAAGGCGCGGTCGCCACCGTCGGCTAGTGCGCTTGCGCCTTTGATGGTGGCTGGCTTGGGTTGGATCATGACTATGGCTTGTAGGGCTTGCCACGGCCATGTCACGTCGCGGTCGATGGTGTTGAGCAGGTATGTTATCTCGTCTCTGCCTGCTGCTGGTAGTCGTCGTGCGTCGCTTGTATTGAGTCGGTCGGTACCTCGTCCCTTGTCTGGTATTCCCGCGATGGCGTCGTCGAATTGCTCTCTACTCCATGTTGTGGTTGGTGTCGTCAGGGCTTGTTCTCGTAGGTCCCGTAGCAGCTGGGTGTGAGTGATGTGGTCTCCGTGGTCGTCGCTCCAGATGCTGTTGAACGTCGTACGCTTGAGGTCCGTACGCTCTATAGTGGATGTCGCTGCCACGGTGTCGTCTATCATTTCATCCTCGTGTCGCATGCTGGGTTTCGTCATCTTGTGCATGGTGCCGTTGTCGCAGCTGTTGGCTAGCCATGTCGCGTAGTCGCGTGCGTTGCATCGTAGGTCACTTCTGATCGCTTGGATCGCCTCCTGTGCTGCTTGCGTCGCCATGCCCTCGATGGTGTCGGTAGGTACGTCATGGATGTTGGAGAGTCGGTCTTTCCAAAGGGCTCGGTGCAATCTGGCGGTGCGCGTCGCTGTGGCTCCTGCTGATGGTATTCCGTCGTGTGCCAGGTGTCGACAGCATGCTTCCAGGGCGCACGTTTCTTTGTGTCCGACCCCCCGTTGTCTTAATCGGAGTAGCGCAGTGAGGGAAGATTCAGCGCGTGCCCACCAGTTGGCTGTGTAGGTGGCATGCTTTAGTCGTCGTAGTCCACGTTCGTTTTGTATGCTTTGTTTGAGCTGGTATGGTTGACTTCTGCCCCCTGTACCGATGCTGCTCGCTCTCGTGGATCTTGTAAACCTTGCAGTAGAAGTCCTCCATGTGATGTGTAAGCGTGTGGAAGATGTGGCTGGCTTCGTGGTGGTCGTCGTGGGTTGCTTGGTATGCTGCGATGTCCGTAATGTAGGATGGGGCTGCAATAGTAGTAGTGGCGTCATGGTAGCGCCCGATCTCGACCCAGAGCTCGTGCATGGTCCTGGTGTCGGCGTCGGGAGCTTGTGCTGGTGGGTGCTGTGGCTCGTCGGTCTTGCTCATGAAGTTCTCGAGCTCGCTGTCATTGTCGTCCTCTGCTTTGATGGGTGCGTCTGCGGCTCTCTCCTGTTCGTGTGGCGGGAGTTCGACGTCCATGAGGTCGACGCTGCCTTCGTCGATGTCCATGGGGTCGACGCCGTCGTCCATTGTAGTTCTGGGTTTCGAGTCCGCTGCTGTCGGTGCTGGGGTGTCTGGGTATCAGATCCATCCATTCGGTGTAAGCGCCTCCCATCTTTGGTTCATGTAATCGTCGTCGCCTTGAGTATCGGCTTGCGTCGTGGTGGTCTCGCAGTTGGTACTGTTGTCGCCCGTGCTGGTGTGGGTCCTCTTTACACGTTCGGATCGTTGTCGTTGTCGCTTACTCTGAGGGTCTGGTGGTTGTTGAGGTAGCCGTGGGTGTCGAACAGGTTGCGGCGTGGTCAGCTGCCGAGTGAGGTTCATCATGGCCTCGCCCTTCAGCGTGATGACCTGGCCGATGTGTGGTCCCCATGGGACGTCGCTGACTGGCCTCAACGAGTGGATGTGTGGTCGAGCCGATGGGCTGACCACGAGGTAGTCGATGAGCGATGGAGTCGCGTCCTTCTTGAAGCACGTGGCTGTCTGCTCGCCTATGGAGAGGATGCTGCCTCCTAGCGCTTCTGGCCATCCTGAGGCGGCGAGCGTGGTTGGCGCGACGTTGAAGTCGCCCGCCAATATCCAAGGAATATTCAGTATACGCAAAAACTGTCCGATCTCCTTCAACCTGTCCGCATTGGTTCCTGACTTGAGGGGCTGCTTGGTCTCCAGGTAGACGCTGATGACGACTATGGAGTAGCCCTTTCATGTGCCAGAGCATCGGGATCCAGTCCGTGACGTTGAGGAGCTCGGCCTGGGCGAGAGGCGATGTGCCTGCCGACGAAGACGACACGCTGCCCTTCACCGCCATCTCGCGGAAAAACTTGGTCTTGAAATTGTTCTTCACCATCGCAGTCACCCCGTCATGGAGGCCCTTCTCCGATGACCTCGACCGCCGTGAAGCCGAACAACAAGCCTTGAGTCCCAGAGTCGCGGGTGTAGCCTCGGTGTGCTGGAGCTCGTGGTGCTTGAGGTGTGTTTCCTGTAACAAGTAGCCGTCGTAAAGTGCACGTCCGCTGGGTCGATGCGCTAGTAGACAATCCCGTAGCCACTTAGTTACCTTGGGTCCCCATGTAGTAATGTTGCCAACAAATATTGTGCGCTGCTCTGGGGTGGCCGAGCGGTTGGCTGTCATGCCACCCCGCAGGTGTCTCTAGTTGGGGTTGGTAGCTGGCAACGTTCCCTCGCGGATCTGGCGGAGGAGCTCGTCGCGCTGCTCTGGAGTCGTGGGTGTCCCTTGAGCGGGCGTCGGTGCTGGCGTGCCCGCAGGTGAGCTCGCTGTCGCTGCTGGGGTTGCGGCTGTCTGCTGCTGTGCTGCTGCTGCTGGTTGGTCCGTGGTCTTGCGCTTCTTGGCCTCTCGGAGCCGCATCGCCTCGGCTGTGGCCTTCGCCTTGGCCTCGTCGATGCGCGCCTTGATCTGGCCCGCGTAGGTCTGCGCGCCTACTTGTAGGTCCTTGATGGCCGCCTGCTTGGCCGCCATGATCTCCGCCTTCAGCTCCTCGTCCTCGTCGCCCTGCAGCTTGTGCTCCATGTCCAAATCGATGACGCCGTTCTGCTGCAGCTCTTGTTCGGAGGAGTTCAGGAGCTGCTCCATGAGGCTCTTCGGCTTGCCCTCCGTCATGATCTCACTCAAGTTGGCCTTCGCCCTCTCGAGTGCCTTGCCCTTCTCAATCATGTCTTCGTACGCCTTCGCCACTAGTCCCTGCAGTCGGCTATGCTCGTCGCAGGCCTTGTGGAACTCGCTGTAGGCTACCTCCTGGGCCTTCGCCGCTGCTGTGCATCGTAGCTCTGCTGGTTGTGGTGGTTGTTGAGGTTGCAGCGTTTGGGCCAGAGTAGCCAGCTGTGTACCCAGTGCTGCAACTGCCGTATTGGATCCCAAGCCCATCTGCTGGAGTTGCTGACCCAGTGTCGTCATCATCCTGGTCATCTCCTCCGTCTGGGGCGTGGTGGTGGTGGTGGTGCTGCTGCCGTTGGCCTCGTTGTTCTGGCGCTCCTGCTCCTTGATGTAGTTGGGCTTCTTGACCAGCTTGATGCAATGCCAGCACTTCCATCCGTGTACTGCGAGCCTCCTCGCCGTGCCATCTCGTCGGCGGCGGCGGTCGGTGGGCTGCTGCCGTGGTGTCGCTTCAGTCTCACCAAGTCCGCGGCCGCTCGCAAGCGGCGCCGCGATGCGGCGCGCTGGCGCCGCTCCCTGCGGTGCCACGCGGGCGAGGGAGGCCGCCCCTGGCCTCGGCGGCCCTCCGTGGGCCTGGGGGCTCCCGTATGGCGCGGGCCGCCGCCGCGCTGCCGCCGGGGCAAAAAGCTGCGCGGGGGCGGGGCGGGGCCACGCTGAGGAGCCACGTAGGAGGAGGAGGAGGAGGAGGAGGAGGAGGAGGAGGAGGAGGAGGAGGAGGAGGAGGAGGAGGAGGAGGAGGAGGAGGAGGAGGAGGAGGAGGAGGAGGAGGAGGAGAGGAGGAGGAGGAGGAGGAGGAGGAGGGGGGAAGGAGGAGGAGGAGGAGGAGGAGGAGGAGGAGAAGGAGGAGGAGGACGAGAAGAGGAGGAGGAGGAGGAGGTGGTGATGGAATAATGGGCCGCGACCTGCGATCTGGCCGAGCAGCCGCCCGAGGTTCGAGCGCGCCGCGAGCGACGGGTGCCTCGCCGTGGGCCTGGAGGCGAAAGGCCTAGACCGCTTCCTGGTCGACTGGTACAGCATGCCCCTGTGGGGAGGCCTCCGGGAGCGGCTTCCCGAGGTCCACGGCAGGGTGCTCGCGAGACGCGCCCGGGGCCGGCCCGCGCTCGTCGCGCACGCCCTGGTCGGCATGAGCCTCGGGCGGCAGGGGGACCTCTGGCCGTCCGTTCTCGCGGGCGAGCCCCCGCTGTGGTATGCGTGCGGGGAGCTCGACGTCAAGTTCGTGGCGATCGGCGAGGAGCTCAGGAGGCGCTGGGGCCCGCCCGTCACCGGCGCGCCCTCCAGGGTGTCCACGCTGCCCGGCTGTGGCCACGCCCTGGTGGAGGAGTCCCCGGGCGAGGTTGCGCGGTTGTGCGCCGAGGTGGCCGGGCACCTGAGCGCCATGGAGGCGCCGGCCGCCACGCCAGCGGCGGTGCTGCCGCAGGTCGTGGGCGCGCGCTCGAGCAAGATTCGAGTGGCTCTCAGCTCGAAGCTGCCGTTGAGTCGGGGCGAGCCGATCGAAGCGCGCGTCGGGCTTCTCATCATCCTGGAGGCGCGTATGCCGGGTGGCGGGGCCAACGGTCACGCCGATCTCGCTACGGGCCTTGGGGAGGTGAATCCGCTGCCGGGGTTCCACAAGGAGTCGCTGGCCGAGGCAGAGGAGCAGCTCCGGGTTGTCCTGTCCACACTTTCAACCAAGAAGCCAGAGTTGCCTCCAGTTGTGGCGAGGCTTGATGGCTCCATGGGCAAGTGGCTGGCACAGCATTGCGCGCCACCTGGCGGTGTGCTGCTTCCTTCTGTGCGGAGTGGCCTCGAGATGGCCTTGCTGCACGTCTTGAAGCGGACGCTGCGAACGCCCCACCTGGGTGCCCTTGCCGCGTCCGCAAACGGGCTGAGCTGCTCGTCGAGCGTGCAGATGAACTCGCTGGTTGTCCGGACCGAGTCCGAGGACCTCGGCATCCCCTCGGACGGAGCCGCGGTGGTGAAGGTGAAGGTGGGCAGGGACCCGCGCGACGACGCGCAGCGCGTCAGCAGACTGGCCGAGCTGCTGTCCGCCCGGCCTGGCCCCCCAGTGCGCCTGCGGCTCGATGCTAATCAGGCCTGGACGGTTCCGGAGGCCGCCGCCTTCCTGGGCGGTCTCTCCGAGCAGGCCGTGGAGGTCACGGAGTACCTGGAGGAGCCGGTGAAGTGGACAGGCGGGCAGGACAGCTTTTTCGAGGCCTGGGAGGCTCTCGCGTCACAGACGGGCAGGTGCGTGGCGTTCGCGGTGGACGAGAGTCTCCTGGAGGGGCCCGTGACCAAGGAGAAGATCGCCGCGTGCCAGGCGCCCATCGCTGCGCTCGTCTTGAAACCGGCTCTGCAGGGCCTGGAGCAGACCGTCGAGCTCTCAGCCTGGGCGCTCAAGCACGGAGATCGGATAGCGAGAGACTCTGTGAGGGTGAGGCTCAGAGGGACCAGAGAGAGAGAGAGAGAGAGAGAGAGAGCGAAACATCTCTCTCTCTCTCTCTCTATATATATATATATATGTAGAGAGATGTCGGGAGAGGGATATATATATATAGAGAGAGAGAGAGAGAGAGAGAGAGAGAAATGGCAAGGGCGACCAATCAGGATTTTGGCTTTCGAATGTCGAGTTTGAAAATGCCATGGCCCCCCCCCCCAATTTTTCCGCCATTGCAACTCGGGGGGCTCATGAATGCTGGGATACATTCAGTATTGAATCGCGCGCGTTTCTGCGATTCGGTCTTTTCAGTTGCTGCTGGTGCTCTGGCCGCCACCTGATTTTCGGTCCCCAGACCTTTCCCGGCTTGCGTGCCGACAAGAATTTTGAGGAGGATCGAGCCGTGGCGACGAGACGCCCCCCAGAGGCTCATCAAGGGCGAAGAGCGTCTAACAATCTTGAACTTCGATCCTAGAGTGTCAATCATCCTCCTCAGGCTCCACAATCTGCTCCAAGTCAGTCCTCGGGCCCCTCCCCAGGTCTATTCTGGCGGATCTTCCACCCAAGATCGAAAAGGGCTTCCAGAGGCCGAACTTGAGGAATTACATGTTCGAACCTTATCCTTATCCTCCTCCTCCTCCTCCTCCTCCTTCCTCTCCTCCTCTCCCTCCTCCCCGAGGAGTTCAGCCCGTGTTCAGCTCGGCATTTGAGAGCGGGGTGGCGCTCAGTCACTTTGCGATCCTGGCGGGGTCCGTCGTGCACCCGCCCGGGCGGGACCTGGGGGCTCCAGAAGCCCGAGGAAGAGGGATGATGATGATGATGATGATGATGATGATGATGATGATGATGATGATGATGATGATGATGATGGTGATGATGGTGATGGTGATGGTGATGGTGATGGTGATGGTGATGGTGATGGTGATGGTGGTGGTGATGATGATAAGGACTATGCTGATGATGCTGATGATGCTGATGATGATGGTGGTGATGGTAATGGCTATGGTGATGGTGTCGGTGGTGATGACGATAATGATGGTGATGGGTTTGGTGACGGTCATGGTGATGATGATGATGATGATGATGATGATGATGATGATGATGATGATGATGATGATGATGATTGATGATGCCAATGATGGTCATGATGCTGCTGCTGCTGATGATGTTGCTGATGATGATTATGCCATTGCTATTGGTAACGAATGCAATGATGAAGTGAGTGATGCTAATGAAGCAAATGATGCTGCTGCTGATACTGATGATGATGACGATGATGATGCTGATGCTGATTCTGATGATGATGGTGACTATGATGATGATGATGATGATGATGATGCTGATTCTGCTTATGCCGCGGCTGATGATAACGAAAGGCATGATGATGGTGATGCGGATGAAACGCGTGAGGATGGTGATGATGCTGATGATGGTGATGCTGATGATGATAATGGTGATGGTGATGGTGATGATGATGATGATGATGATGATGATGATGATGATGATGATGGTGATGGTACTGAGGATGATGATGATGAGGATGATGATGCTGGTGATGATGATGATGTTGATGGTGATGTTGATGGTGATGAGGATGGTGAGGGTGATGGTGATGGAAATGGCGATTGTGATGGTGGTGATGATGAAGGTGATGGTGATTGTGACGGTATTGGTGGTGGTGATGGTGGTGATCTTGATGGTGATGATGATGCTGATGCTGCTAGGTTGTGATGCTGCTGCTGGTGATGATGATGATCATCATCATGCTGCTGCTGATGATGACGGTGATGGTGTTGGTGATGGTGATGATGATGCTGATGGTGATGATGAGGATGATGCTGATGAGGATGCTGGTCATGATGATGATGGTGGTGGTGATGGTGATGGTGATGATGATGGTGATGGTGAAGGTGATGATGCGGATGCTGATGATGATGCTGATGATAATCCTAATGGTGGTTATGATGCAGTTGCTGGTGGTGATGATGATGCTGATGATGATGATGACGATGATGAACGTGCTGCTGCGGATGATTCTGAAGAATGTGGTGCTGATGGTGTTGCGGATGAAGCAAATGATGACGATGATGCTGATGATGGTGATGGTGATGATGATGGTGATTATGATGATGATGGTGATGATGATGCTGTTGATGATGGTGATGGTGATGGTGATGCTGATGGTGGTGATGGTGATGGTGATGCTGATAGTGATGGTAATGGTGATGGTGATGGTGATGGTGATGATGATGATGATGATGATGATGATGATGGTCTTAATGATGGTGATGATGATGATGATGATGACGGCTCCGAAGGAGATGGTGATGCTGGTGATGTTGATGAGACATGAGGGTGTTTATGCCGATGATGATGATGCTAATGGTGACCATGATGATGGTGAGGATGATGGAGATGATGATGGTGATGGTGATGGTGACTGTGATAATGGTGATAAGGATGATGCTGATGATGACGGTGATGGTGATGGTGATGATGGTGGTGATGGTGATGATGGTGATGCTGATGCTGATGATGCTGATGATGATGGTGATGGTGATGGGGATGGTGATGCTGATGGTGGTGTTTTTGATGATGGTGATGGTGATGGTGGTTTGTGATGATGATGATGCTGATGCTGATGACGACGATGCTGATGCTTGTTATGATGCTGCTGCTGATGCTGACGTCAAGGATGATTCTGCTGCTGCTGGTGATTGCGGAGGACATGATGATGATGGTGATTCTTACGAAACACATGAGGATGATGATGGTGATGATGATGGTGGTGGTGGTGACGGCGATGATGATGGTTGTGATGGTGGTGATGATGATGTTGATGGTGATGGTGATTGTGATGGTGATGGTGGTGATGCTTGTTATGGTGATGGTGACGGTAATGGGGATGGTGATGGTGATGGTGATGGTGATGATGATGGTTCTGATGATGTTAATGGTGGCTATGATGCTTCCGCCGATTGTTAGCTGCTGCTGGTGACTGCTAAGTAGATGATGATGGTGGTGCAGATGAAACAAATGATGCTGATCATGATGGTGATGATGTTGATGATGATGATGGTGGTGATGATGATGATGATGATGATGTTGATGCTGGTGATGGTGGTGATGGTGATGATGATGATGATGTTGATGCTGGTGATGGTGGTGATGGTGATGATGATGAGGATGATGATGGTATTGATGATGGTGATGATGCTGCTGATGGTGGTGATGGCGGTGGTGATGCTGATGGTGATGGTGGTAATGCTGCTGGTGATGATGATGGTGATGGTGATGCTGATGGTGATGATGATGCTGATTGTACTAATTATGGTTATGTTGCTGATGATGCTGATGATGCTGTTGCTGACGAATGCGAGTAACATGATGACGATGATGATGCTGATGAGGCGAATGATGATGATAGTGATGGTGATGATGATGCTTACGATGATGATGATGACGATGATGATGCTGATTCTGATGATGATGGTGATGGTGGTGATGATGGTGGTGATGATGATGACGATGTTGATGGTGATGTTGATGATGAGGATGGTAATGATGATGATGATGATGATGATGATGATGATGATGATGATGATGATGATGATGGTGATGATGATGATGATGATGATGATGATGACCATGACGATGCTGATGGTGATGATGATGATGATTATGATGATGCTGACGATGATGCTGATGATGCTGCTGCTGATGATGATGATTCTGGTGGTACTGCTGCTGTTCATGATGATGAAGATGATGAGGATGATGATGCTGCTGCTGCTAGTGATGATGACGATGGTCGTGGTGGTGGTTGTGGTTAGACAATGATGATGGTGATGAGGAGAAGTAGGAGGAGGGAGGAGCAGGAGGGCCATAAGGGGCAGGAGGAAGAAACTAGGAGGGAGGGACGGAGGAGGGACGGAGGAGGGACGGAGGGGGGACGGATGAAGAGGAGGAGAACCAGACTAAACCGAGATGCATGAACGAACGTGCAAAACATCCGTTTGTCCCAAGCCCCCTCCCCACAAGTCCCCACCATTCTCTTTCCACTGCCAGAAGACCCCCTTGAAAGACCGGCACCCTCATCATGGGCGTGCCATTCAGGCGAAAGCCTTGTTTGAAAAGGAATTGCATTGCAGCTTTCTAGCGATACGACGGAGTGCGAAACGATCGGGTCATACAGTTCGGCGGGGTGTGCAGCGATATCACATTTTTGCAGGAGGGCCGCGCCCCATTTGTGTCACTGTTGCACAAGCTCACACCTCTGGTCATGTTCTTTGCGGAAGCCTCAAGCGAGAGCCCTCTTTCGAGAATGAGCCGCCCTCCATCCGTGCAGCTGCTGCATCAGTTGAAATTTATGCGTTTTGACTAGGAAGTCTTAAGCGATCGCCTTACTTTGATAAAGAACAGCCATCCGTGTCTCTCACTGCTGCTAGCTTTTACGACGACTGCGCGCGGTGCTAAGGCGAAAGCCTTCTGTTCAAAGGGAGCAGTTCTCCATCCTTGTACTTGTTTCGAGCTTTTAAGATTTGCGCGGAGCGCTAACGCTTGAGCTTAAGACGAATGTGCGCTGCGCTGAGGCGAGAGCTTTCTTCTGAAAACCGCCCCATCCTTGCAACTGATGCGTGCTTTCCAGACAACAGCCTCTTTTTTCAACACGCCGCCCCTCCGCTCTGGCAGCTGCTGCAAGCTTTGACGGGCGCGGCGATGTGGCAGGATCCACACCTCCGCGTCTGCAATGATCCACCCTCCATCCGCTGAAGTGTTGCACGATCTTAAAGCTCTGGCCATACTCTTAGCAGACTTCGGCCCAGCCCGCCAACATGCCTTGGTTGTTTGCCCGTCTGAGAGGCTTTTTGACTACCTCTTGGCATGTCTGCCCTTTTGAGCCCGAAGAAGTCAATGCGGAAAGGCGCCCCAGGCGCGCGGGAACCCTGGGAGATCTGAGAGTTTGGGGTCCGGGCCCCTTCAAAATATTTTCCGGATTGGGGAATGAGTCTCGGGGAGGACACTCCAACGCGTGGCTCGCAGGCGTGGTGGTGGACCGGAAGCTCAAGCGAGAGCCCCCGCCCTTCATCCGGGTAGCTAATTGCACTTTGAAAAAGACTGATGGGGACTCTTTCGACGAACGTGCGCGGCGCTAAGGCGAGAGTCGCATTTTGAAAGTCACCAGCCCTCCCTCCGTGCAGTTGCTTTTCACAAGGTCAGTCTTGCGGCGCTCAGGTGAGAGCAACATTTTGACATCGAGCCTGCCTCCATCCTTATTGTTGTTGGGAACTTCTGGAACGGATATTCGTGGCGCTAAGGCTGGAGACGCATGTTAGATCCCTATCCCTTCGTGTAACTGTTGTTTTTCAAAACGGGTGTACGGGGCGCTAGGGCGAGAGCCGCAATTTGAAAACGAGCCAGCTTCTATCATTGACGCTCTTATGGACTTAGAATGCGAATGTGAGCGGCGTTAAGGCGACAGCCGCATTTGGAAAACGAGCCGTCCTCCATCCTCGTAACTGTTGGGAGCTTCTGGAGCGACTGTCCGCGCCGCTTTTGTGTGAGCCGACAGTTGGAGGTTCTAGCTTCGTGATGGGGAATTGCAGCGAGATGCCCAGCAGGGCCTACGGACACGTCTGGTGGTGCGACAGCGTGGGGGAGTTGGTTAGGAGGAGGAGGAGGAGGAGGAGGAGGAGGAGGAGGAGGAGGAGGAGGAGGAGGAGGAGGAGGAGGAGGAGGAGGAGGAGGAGGAGGAGGAGGAGGAGATGGAGGACAGGCGCTTGGCAGCGGATGTTCAGAGGGTCGGCGCCGTGCACTGGAGAGTGCAGCAGCACAAATTCAAAGGGCGCTGGGACCGCTTTTGGCAGAGGAGGAGGATGATGATGAGGAGGAGGAGGAGGAGGAGGAGGAGGAGGAGGAGGAGGAAGGAGGACGAGGAGGAGGGGGAGGAGGACGTGGACGAGGAGGAGGAGGAGGAGGAGGAGGAGGAGGAGGAGGAGGAGGAGGAGGAGGAGGAGGAGAGAGAGAGAGAGAGGCTGAGGGAGGGCTCTGCGACCACTTGTGAATCCTACCCCTGCGGGTCCCATCGACGCTAGGGCATCGGACACACCCGCAAAGGTTCACCTGACTGCAGACATCCCTCAGATCTTGAATCCCCGCAGGTGTTCCAGAAGTTTGACCTGCAGGGGTGGGGCTTACACGGGGAGCTCCAGGAAGCGCCTCGCCCTCGAAGACCTGGAGGAGCTGATATCCCTTCCTCGGCGGAAGGCCGCGGAAGGCCCGCGGAGAGCGGCGGAAGTAGAGCGAGGCCGCCTCCGCTGGCGGAAGCACCACTTTTGTGCTCGCGGTTTCCGGAACCCGCCGACCGTGACTGCCTGTGGAGGACGCTGCCTTCACCGGTTGTCACGGGCTCGGCACCTTCACGCGGCTCAGGGAGGACGTGCTCCGCCCGCCGTTCGCGGACCTCGTCACCTGCGGCGGCTCCGCGGGCGGCCTGGGCGGGGTTTACAACGCAGTCTGGGGCGCCCAGGGTGGGGCTGGAGCAGATCTGCCAGGAGGGTCGCGCCGCACAGCTGTTGCATCGGCGATAATGCACGGCCCAGTTCGCGTTTTTGCATCTCCTTCCCGACGTGGGTGCTGCATCGGCGGTGCGGTGGGATCCTCCGGTGCCGTCTGTTCTGGCCCCATGTGGGCGGCCTCCAGTTACGCAAACGCCCTCTTTTCACGATTGTGCAGTCAAACGCATTCTCCTCGCGGTCCTGCTTGGTGGTGGTGGTGGTGGTGGTGGTGGCGGCCGTAGCGGTCTGTCCGCGACCCGCGGCCGTGGGCGGCCCAGCCGTCTCAGGTGCTCCGCTCGCAGGCGCTCTGAAGCTGGGCAGGCTGGGCACAGGAGTGAGGCGGGTAGAGACGGTGTTCCTGCGTGCGTGCTTCCTCCTCGGACTCGTCGTTTATGCCCCGTTGGAGTCTCCCCTCTCCGCGCATTCCTTCGAAGAAAAAAACTGTATACACATAAACTTTCGGAGTTCCGTGCTGATTTCTTGGATCGGCGCTGGGCCCCCCTCCCTGGCGCGCGAAGGGCGTCAGCAGGGTCTAGTGCCGATCTAAGAAATCCACGCGAGCCTCTGAAAGCTTATCCAGCTGCCTACGGCAAGTCCCGCCACCGTGCCTGGCTTGTGGGTATGAAGCCTATTGGATGTGCGTTGGGTTCTCGTGGGAGGCCTCTCGGGGGCCTCTTGGAGTTGAGGCTTCTTGGGGGCTGTTTTGGGGCTTCTTGGGGCCTGTCTTGGGCCTCTTGTGGGCCGCTTGGGGCCGCTTGGGGCCGCTTGGGGGCCTCTGGTGAGCCTCTGCAGGCGTCTTGGGCACATCTTGGGCCTTCCTGGGGGCCTCTTGGGGCGGACGGCTCGGATTGTCGGTTCGTGTTCCCTCACTTGGGCCCCTTTTGGGACCGTCTTGGGGCCCTCTTGTGCCGTCTTGGTCGCCTCTTGGGTCGTTTTTGGGCGCTCTTATGCCGTCTTGGGACCCTCTTGGAGGCCTCGTGGACCGTTTTGGGGTGGTCTTGGGGGCCCCTTGGGCCGCCTTGGAGCGTCGGAAAGCCGAAAAGGCGAGAACGCCAACATCTTGCAAAACCTAAGGGAAATCACAGATTTTCCTCTTGGGATGCCTCTTGGAAGCCTCTTGGGGCGCCTTGGAGGCCTCTGGGGCCATGTGGGGGCCATCGTTGGCGTCTTCGAGCGATCGTTCGGCGACCCGGGGCCCTCTTGGACAGTCTTGGGGGCTTCTGCGCCGTCATGGAAGTCTTGGAGAGCCCCAGGTCCCCAGGGGACTCCGAGTCGACATGTCCGACATCGTCATAGAATCGCTCCCGGAGGGCTCTCGAACGGCCCAATGGAGGCAAAAGACGCCCTGGAGGGCCCCAAGAGCACCCAAGAGCGCTCCAGGAGGCACCCAGACAGCTCACAAGAACCCCAAGACGGCCCAAGAAGGGCTCAGAGGGCCCCAAGAGACTCCCAAAGAACCCCCCGACGCGCCCAGACAGCCCAAGAAGAACCCCAGAAGCCCACCAGATGACCCAAGAGTTCCCCAAGAAGCCCCCAACAGGCCCCAAGACAACCCCGCGCGGCGCCAGGAGCCCCCTGGGTAGCCCGATAGGGTCACCAGGACCCTCTCCTGATTCAACGTCCTTCTCCAATTGCCTCTTACTGTCCTCCGTCGTCGTCGTCGTCGTCGTCGTCGTCGTCGTCGTCGTCGTCGTCGTCGTCGTCGTCGTCGTCGTCGTCCTTCGCATTCCTATTACTCGCCCTCGTTCTCTGTGTCCTCGTCCTTGTGCTTCTCTTCCTCCCTGTTGTCCTCATGGTGCTCCTCGCTATCCTCACGGTCTCCACGTCGTCCTCGTCATCGCCTCCTCGTCGCCCTTGCCTTCCTTTTCTTCTTCTCTCTCGCCCAATACGCCCATTAGACTAAAGCGGCGCTTCCCGTTCTTGTCCTATCAGGTTTGTATGCCGCTAATTGTTCCTCCAGTCCTGGCTCCTGCTGCTGCTCGCGCACCTCTGGAGCCTTGCGAGCTACCCCCTGCGAGGCGGAGGACCGAGTGGCTGGAGCGTGAGCCTGCTGAGGTGCCAGGAGGCGCTTGACGCTACGGCCGACGCCAACAGCGCTACAGCGTGAGCCCCTCGCCCTACCTGGGCGACTCGCACGAGTAAGGTGCCATGCGCGCCTGTAGGGTACGAAGGGTTCGTGTCGTGTTGACGCGACGGCGACCTCAGCGTGGGCGTTCAAAGTTGAACGCCGCCAGTGAGTTGAAATCGGCCGGCATCGATCGATCGGAACGCCGCGATCGCGCACGGTTGAACGATCCACGCGGTGTCAGAAACCATTGCGCAAGTCGCCACGGCACGAACCCGCCGTATGCTGGTCGACGGATTGATCCAGTTGCGCCGCTGCGCGTATCCGCCACCGCACTTCAGGGGGGGCTGGGAAAAGCCTCGGGGGTGGTTCCATGGGAGGCCCCCGCCCGCAGTTTTGTTATCGGCAGGGTGCCCGACACACTCCAACCGTTGCATGCTCGGAAGCGGATCCTGGTGCTACTGACATTCAATTTTTTTAGTTCTTGTATGGAAGCGAGGGTGCAGCGCTGGAGGCTTGCAAGCCACGCCTCAAGCTTCGTTGGCATCCCATTTTCATAAGCAGAGCGCACCTCTACGGTACCTCATAAGTGATACACAACATCACTGTGAACGACCCTTGTTTCCCAGACGCGTGTGCGCGTGCTCGTTACGAAGGACTCCCCGCGCGCTGCGGACAACAAAGGCGTGTGCACACGAGTGGACCGCAACAGCTTGTCCTTCGGGGTCCACCTAGGCAGCTTTTCTGGAGTGCACCGCCTGGTTTTTTCCTCGGCTACGCCGCCGCGACAGCACCGACACAGGATTCTGCGGCGCTAGAGCTGGGACGGGCAGTCGTCGGCGATTGTTTGCTTTGTGCTGGTCGCCGAGTCTGCACTTTTGCGGGAGCCCAAAACGTATCACTGCGCCCGAATCCTCACCAGCAACACCAGCGTCGTCCTAGAACTCACAATCGTCACAGTCATGACAGTTGAAGTGAATATGTATCACGGTCTGATTGGCGTTTAAGCGCGATAATCTGGAGCAGCAGGTCATCTTGTGGGCTTTCTAATCCGAGGCTGCGTGCCGCACTGTGGAGACGATGGCCAAGGATTTGGATAACAAATGGGGACGCCGCCTGAGCGAGATTTGCGACAGCATGGGCCCTGTCGGCCTCACGACCTCGCCCACCATCCCACCATCCACGGCTTGCGTACGAACATGGCGACGCTAAACACAGCGCTTCGATTGCACCAACCCCCGTGGGATCGAGGATGATGAGAAGGAGAACTATGAGGAGGGAGGACGGGCGGAGGGAGAAGGATGAGCATGACCAGGAACATTAGGAGGAGGAGGAGGCGGAGGAGGAGGAGGAGGGGCGCCAGACTCTATGCAGGCCTGGGAGTTTTCTGCGTTTTCCAACTTGGCGTCGGGGAGCGCCCGATCAAGTCGGTTCTTCCTTTCGAGTTGGCTCCTCCTCTTCATCCCCACCCTCCCCTCCCTCCCGCTCTGCTCGTGGCGCCTCGTGTCAAGCCAGAGGCAGAGAACATATCCCAGTGCGACCCCACCTAGGAGTTGGAGCCTCTAGGAAACCAACATTAGTAGGAGCGGTAAACGCCGTCCTCTTTCTCTCCTCATCGTCGTAGTTGTAGATGGCCCACCGACGGACAACATGCATGGAACACACGTGCGCACACACACACACACACATAGAAGTACAGATATGTATATGTATATATATATATAGCAGCAGCAATAGTGGATGCTGTGCTGCGCTATACTATGCCATGTTATGCTCTGCTCTGCTCTGCTCTGCTCTGCTCTGCTATGCTATGCTATGCTATGCTGCGCAATGCTATGCTGGGCTAGGCTAGGCTAGGCTAGGCTATGCTATGCTGTGCTGTGCTATGCGATGCTGCGCTATGCTATGCTGCGCTATGCTATGCTATGCTGTGCTATTACTTTGCTCTGCCTTCGCTTTTGCCTTCACTTGTGCCTTTGCTTTTGCTTTTGCTTGGCGCCCAGGGAGCGCAACTGGGGGAACCGCGCGTTTGCTTTTACCTTTGCTGTTGCTTTTGCTTGGCTCCCAGGGGACTGGGGGAACCGCCCGGGGCGAATAGCACTGCCCGGCCCCTTGAAGCAAAGAGAGTAAGAACCCTTCTAGGCAGAGCCTAGGTAGGGAATAAGCTAAGCTAAGATGAGGTAAGCAACGCTAAGCTAAGGGGACGTAATTGGGGGAACCGCGGGGCGGATGCCGGGGGAACCGACAAGGCGAGTTGCACTGCCCGGCCCCTTCAAGCAAAGAGAGCCAGAACCCTTCTAGGCAGAGCTTAGGTAGGGAATCATTGTAAAAACAAATGTTTCAGGCCAGAGGGCCATCAACCCGTGTAAAAAACATGTTTTTCAGGTTTTTCAGGTTTTTGTGAATCTATGCGCGCTCAAGCGGATCGATTCACAAAAACATGAAAAGCCTGAAACACATATTTTTTACAGTGTCTGTTTTCCTTTTGACCTGAAACACATGTTTTTTTACAATGGTTTGTGAAACTGAAAAGGCTCCCTGGCCAGTGGCGGGAGGGGACCCAGCAAGGGAACCCAGGAGAGGGACCCAGGAGGGGACCCAGCAAGGGACCCAGCAAAGGGACCCAGCACGGGACCCAGGAGGAGACCCAGCCAGGGACCCAGCAAGGGACCCAGCAAAGGGACCGAGCAGGGGACCCAGGAGGAGACCCAGCCAGGGGACCCAGCAAGGGCCCCAGCAAGGGGACCCAGCAGGGGACCCAGGAGGAGACCCAGCCAGGGGACCCAGCAAGGGACCCAGCAAAGGGGCCCAGCAGGGGACCCAGGAGAAGACCCAGCCAGGGGACCCAGCAAGGGCCCCAGCAAGGGGACCCAGGAGAGAAACCCAGGAGGGGACCAATCGCAGCTACGGGGACACAGCCAACAAACCAAAGTTTTGGTTTCTTGCACGGCCCACGCCCCAGCCCTGGCCCCCAGCAGCGACGCCACGGAAGCAACCGACAACTGAGGAACCCCACAAATGGGTTCCCAGCACTGCGCCTGAAAACGCCGCCAACGAGTTCAATGTGTTTTACGGCTTTCCGTTGGCCTCGGATGGGGGCCCTGTGACGCTACGCAATGATATGCAATGCTGCTGCGATGTGTTGCGCCAGTCGGGGCTATGCCGCGCAAGCGCGTGGTTATCGCCCAGGAGACCTCGCGGGCGGAATGGTTGAACGTTGCTGCGATCGCGTGCGCGGCAGCTGCTGTGGCCCGAGAGTCCGCTGCGCTCTCGCGCTACTGAGCGAGATGGTTCAAGAGAGAGCGAGATGCGAAAAGAAAAGTCCTTTCGCCTGCTGGCTGGCGAGTACTGACGGTTCGAATCTCATTGGCGTCACAAACACCGAGGGGGGCGGGTGGTGGTGGATTCGTGTGGTTAAGAGCATCCCCCGAGGACCGCCTGTACATTTCTGTCGACGGGTGGCCCAGCATCAAGCACTTCAGCAAGGGCCCCCAGCAGATCATCGCGGCGGGGTTCGCGGGCCCTCTGTAGGTCACATCCGACCCGAATCTGTTGTCGATCATGGTTCGCCCTTACAGGGATTTGATCGTGGATGTCGTTTGCATCTGGCACGATCGCCCTGTGCCCGACGCAGCGTCTGATCGCCCGCTCTGTGATCGACCGATCGACGTGCTGTAGGGCGTAGGCCGATTGACCGATTTCGCGGGGGGCATTAGCGGATCGATGAAGTGGCGGGGGCGGCGCAGTGTGTCATGTGCGTTCGGGCACTGAGGCCCCCTTGTCCGACCTTGTCTTCGCCTCCGAGCACAACGACATCTGGTTCCACACTGCGGGCTGGGCTACAACGTAGAAGGCAATCGAGAGGGGTGCGCAAACATATTCGGGCTTGCCCCCGCACCGCCACATTGCATCCATGGCGGCGCACCCGGGTTTGAACGCGCAGCGGGCCAGCAACCGCGAGCACGTCGGCCCGTCCTTCGGGCTGCGGCCGTGAGCCGTTATGCATTCGCGCAGACCGGCCGGTTGTAGGGTGCGCGGGCTACGAAAGTCAGTGTACAGTTGGCGCGTGCCGTTGTCATCCGATAGGAAAAATAGCACCCACGCCTTGAACAAAATGCGCACATGCTATTTACATTGATTCGAATATCCTGGGGTTGGGTGGGGTTGTAGATTTCGGTGCGTGTATCCCAGCGCAGGGTTGCTCCCCCCCGTATTGCTTTCTCTCTTGCCAGTGCTGTTGCCCGCAGCTTTGTTGGCTCACGATCAAGCGCGCCCTCGCTGTCACCTTTGCAGCGCCTCCCGCTGCAACCATGGCGAACTTCGTGGCAGGGGGTGTCAAATCCATGGGGGAGATGCTCGCGGGGGACGAGTCGGCCACCGAGCAGATCGCGCAGGTCTGGGGCAACGTGGAGACCCTGAGCTCTTACGCTCGACTCGAGAAGCCGACGCGCTTCGATTCGGACCCACCTGGCTGTTATCGTTTGCGAGACATACCGTTGAGGGATGTCGATAACGTGGTAAACGTGAAGCACGCCGTGGACTGGGTCAAGATCGGGACGGGGTGCCAGCAGCTGCCCGACACAAGCGCCGTGGACATGGTCGACATCATGCGCCGCGGAGACTACGCGTCCCTGCCGTTTCCGTTCAAGACGAAGAAGGACACGGGCGAGTTGGCGTTCGCGATGCAGATCTACGTGTTGCCGACCGACGTCGACGGAGTGCAGCCAGTGCTGAAGTACATCAAGCTCGACAAGAGTACTCGCGCCGATTTGGTAAAGGACCTGTTCATCGCGGGCGCGCCCCTGGTGACCCACTGGGGCCGCACTGCGGACGCGAAGAGGGTGCGCGAGCAGTTCCACTTCATGATGGACCGCCTGGGGGGCGTGCAGTGCCGCTATTTCGTGCAGCCATCTGTGAAGAAGGCAGCGGAAATGTGCATGTACGGCAGGGCCGCTCGAATGGCTGGTTGCGCATTCATTCGCGACCATGGGCCGCGGAGCAACTCTCAGAACCAGTTCGCCGCGTGGACAGACGAGCAGATC